CCGTCCCACTCACCCCACCCCACCCCCGAGCCCCATTTTAGCCAGATTTACTTCGGTCTTCAAAATGTACAAGAGCGAAGCTGCAGGATGGGAGGGAGTGGGAGCAGGGGAAAGGAGAGCGAAGAGGAGCGCTCTTCCCACGGGGTAGCAATAAGCGTCGCCAGGCTCCGAACCCCGCAATCCTTGACCCACTTTCTCTCGCAGCACTCGGTCGCACTCCACGCACTGGTTTTCTGGTAAGGGTGGTTTTTGTTCCGTAGCAGGACTTTGGCGGCCTTTAAAGGCTCTAGGGGATCGGGGAAGTCTGCTCACTCGCCGGCGGGCCTATATGTGGCCGGGCTTCCCTTGGCCTTGCGCGAAAGTCCAGGCTTCTTCCGCCAGAACTCCTTGCCTCGTTCCCCGGGCCGATTAAGAGAAACTGCCGACCCTGTTTTTTTCCGGGAGGAGAAAGGGGAGGGGGGCCCTCCAAGTGAAGGGGCGCTTTGTGAACTCCCCGAGAGCAGGAAAATCGCTATTGCTGCTGTTGCGGTTAAAAAGATAAATCTCGCCGGGGACGGTTTTTCAAACAAAACACCTTTAGTCTCAGACAAGCAGCTTTTACTGAATGCTCCAGCTCAGGAAATCTTTCTCTTCCCCCTGCAGCCCCGGAACACGCCCCTCACCCGCCATTAAGGGTCACTTCAGCTCCTCATCTCGTTTTCCAGGGAGACTACAACTGCCCAGGTCGGCTTAGAGGAATATTTCCCCTGCAACCCGACAGAAAGTGGAGCTGCTGACTGACCTTTTTTTACCCTAGTTTCTCCCTCTTCCCTCAAAAAGTTCCCTTACTAACTTCCACAGAATTATTTTGATTTCTGACTTTTTTATGGGTTATATGAAGTTTCACCAACTCCAGCAAAGGGAGGTTAAATTAAAAGCGTGGGGTCTCCTCCCTTGAATCTCCTCAAAGATCAATGTTCCCACTCCCAAAGCCACCCTGTAGTTTAAATTGTTCACTTGTCATTACTACTATCATCTTTTTATATATTACTACTACTACTATTATCATCATCTTCATCATCATCTTGCAAAGAAGGGCTGCAGTTTTTCATTGCCTGAAAAAGGTTATTTCTCTGGCATTCCAAATTGACCTCCGTGTGGGATGCCAACAGGACCGACCATTTTATTTAATCTTGTTTCCACCATATTATTATTCCCCTCAAAGGAAAGCCAGCAAGAGCCAAGAACATTCACGAGGCTTCTGTTCCCAGTGGCTTTTTCTCCACGTTTCCCAAGTCCAGTATTAGCCCAAAGATAAAATGTGGACCTTTTTAGAATTACTCTGAATTCTCTAACAGGAATTTTATAATCAATAATAACCAAATAATAATAGTATGTGATCAACCTTAACAATACAATTATAGGAAGATGAAACCTGGAAAAGTTAGCTAGTGCAGGATGGAGGTTTTAGCAGCAACAGACACGATTAAAGCAGATTTTTGTATACCTTGATCTAGGCAATCCAATCGAAGTAATAAAGGAGGAGGAAAGATGTGAGAATAGGGATAGGATAACCATTTATTTTTTTGCCGTTCAACGAGATCAAGGTATTTAATTGATTAAATTCCTATTTCTCCATCTCCCAAGACTGAAGCATTCTTTTGTTTTTTGCAGAGAAGTATTTAGGAAGAAGCAAGGTGCTTTCTATCTTGGTCAGGGAAGCAATACTCACTCAGATTCTTAATCTACAAGGAGTAATTGACACATTTGTTAATCATAGAAATCTAAACAGATAAAAGTTCATCCTGACAAGCTAATATTGCAAGTTTTACTACAGTAACTTTTCAGCAAAAATGGCTGTTTTTATTCAAATAATGACCACTGATAATTACCAAGGTTTTTTTGCATGTATCTTATGAACATATGATATTTATGCCACCAATCCTCACTACAATTTCCACTGTGATTTCTCCGTTTAAAACATGTGCATTTATTAGTCACAAACCTAGCAGAGTTTATTAATCACACTCAGACTTTCACACATGCTAGTGCACACACATACTTGATGGGGGGGTGAGATATAACCAGTGGATCCAATGTATATTTCTCTGCCCCAGCCTTTCTACCCTAAAACAATATCTTTTAAAAGTATCCAAGAGCTTTCAGCCCCCTAAACCTTTAGTTAAAGCCCTGTTAAATGCAGAATTGTAATTTGTAGTTAAATATATCCCAGTGTGTTCACACACTGAAAGTATAATTGAATGTGTTTGTTGTGTGAGGTTATCAAGGAACTAGCCCATCTGGGTTAAATTAAAGCAAGCTTAATAAATGGTGCCAGGCCTAACCAAATCTCTTTCACTCTTTCTTTTCATTCTGGGGATTGGATGAAGACAGAACATTCATATTCCAGGCCTGGACTTTTTCTTCAGATTGGAAGTAGACTAGTATTTGGAGCAACCATTATAAGAAGGGGATTATGAACATTATTTTCAGAACTGAAATAAGCCCCCTTTCTCAGTATTTTGGGGAGCAATAAAGGACCTCTGAATCTTTTCATGAGATGTACTTCTACCAATGAAATATTCACATGCACACACAAACTTGCCCGTGCCCCTCACCTGCAAATATAGAAATGCTTCATACGCAGATCATGCTTGTCATACACCATCCTCTTTATAGCCAAAAGACAACATAATCCAAACAAGATTTAGGAACAACTATGGTGTGTGTGTGTGTGTATACATGTGTAGGGGATAAGTGTGTGTGTGTGTGTGAATGAGGTCGTTTTCCCACAAACATGTTGTGACATGTCAAAAGGGTGCCTGTTTTGATAAACACATAATTAGTGCCAGGATGTGTGTGTGCAGCTGGGTAGAAAGGCATAACTTAGATAATAGCCAAGGCAGCACATACCCAGTCGGAGTGGATTTACAAAACGGAACTTTAAAAATGATCATTAAAGCCTCTTTGGCTGAATTGCAGGTGAGCTAGTTTGGGTGATGGGGTGGGGGGGGAGCATAGAGGAAAACTTGCATCATATGTGAGTGCATATATACACATAGAGAGACTGAAATACGAAATAAGTGTAAAAATACATGGGGAAATTTGGGTGTTTGTGCAAGGAAGAAATGGAGGGAGGGAGAAATGCTTGATTTCACAGGAGGAGCCCTGGAAAAAAAAGCCTTTTTTTTCTCCCTCTGCCTTGTTCCCTTTGGGGCTAAATGGGAAGGGGGGGAGGGGAAGAAGGTGGCTGTTGGTGCTTAACTACTTTTATTGTTGTGTAAAGTGAAGGCCCTGAGGTGAAACTGTGTGTGTGTGTGTGTGTGTGTATTTGAGAAAGAGGGAGAGAGAGAAAGAAAAGCAGGGGGGAGTTCTGGCAAGACAACTACTTCCCCAGGCCAGCCGCTTTGCTTCTGTGTAGCAGGCAAAATTCCCACCACTCCTGGTTTTGTGGAGGATCCCGGAGTTTTCCAAATCCACCCTTCCAATCCAAGTCCTTCAACTGAAGTCCCAAACCACAAAAGAGTGAAGCAAACTTTTGAGCTTCCTGGAACTCTCCATCCCTTTGGAAAAAGGGTATCCTTTATTTCATCTGCATCCTTTTCCAGAGTCCAAAGTCACCAACTAAGTGGAAAAGACTGGTGGGTGAAATTCCTAGAGAATCGACCAGTCAATTATGTTCCTTGTTTGGATCTAACTCTCCTCTTCAGGAACAAGGCCGCCTAATGGCTTCTAACAGATTCTAATGGGATAATAAGACTCAAGGAAAGGAGATTTCAGGACAGGATGTCTCTTCTATTTTCTCTTCCCCACCCATCTCCAAAATGGCAGCATTGGAAACTGTGTAGGCTCAGCTCAATTTGGGGGGAGATTATCTCTTATGTGTGGGGGGGTCACTCAGGCCTCTCCAACCACCCCAGGAAACAGAAGCTGGCCAAGAGTTTGGACCAGGGCTACTACTTCTGACAACACACCTCTGGCTTTTTCCTCCCCCTTTCAACCTGAGCAGCTTTTAGTTGGCTTAACTTCAGGGCCCCAAAATGGGAAAGGGCCTGAGGGGGTTGCAACGAACTGCTGGTGAAAGGCAAAAAGTTCACAGAATGCAGCCCTGGGGTGGTGTACATTACCGCTTCTCAAAGTTCTGGGTTTTCCCAATATTCTTTCTCTAAAGGGTTTCTCCAGGATTTGGTGAAAAGAGAGCAGGCATGTGTTGGGACCAAGACATTTCTGAGGGCTTTGCTGCATCTTCCACTCCAGCTCTGACTCACCGTTCACATACACTATTGTTATACTAGATTGCATCATGTAAATCTCAATGGGGGTAGTGGGGATTTTTTTTTAAATTTTGCACATTTCCCTACTTCGGAAAATATCAAGACCATGTTTTGCAAATGACTTTCCCCCTGATTCTATGCCCCCTTCTCCCTCCCAACCCCCAGAGGGAGGAGGAAAGTTATCCATAATTTCCGCCTTGGCCCCCTCCCTATTTTAAACCTCAGGTAATAAATGAATGAAATATTGCCTGTAATTAACCCAAGAGAGCCAGGTTCCATCCAATGCTCAGGACAGAGAACGATTGTGGGTTTTTTTCTAAAAAAAAAAAAAATTCCCTCTCCTCATAGGATACAGAATTACGTTTTTAACACCCTCCGTTTGAAGAACTCTATCTACAGTAATGGAACTTGGAGGAAGAAGCTGGAGCAAGGCGAGTATAAGAATCAGGGAAAGAAGAGAGGCACAATTTGATCCTTCCTTTAGGAATAGAAGGCTCCTTTTTTTTGCCTTAAGTTTCTTAATTTACGCTAACTTCCTCCCTTTGCGCCCCCCTCCAAAAGAGCTTTGAGTTTCCTGTGGCAAAGGGGCGGAAGGGGGAAAAAATCCATCCCCGCTCTCGCCGGGCCCAGAAAGAACACGAAAAGGCAGGGAAATTCGTCAGTTCCAGGCTGCCTTTTGTGCTTTCGCTTTGGCCTCAGCAGACAAAACAAATCCCCGCCTCTGTCTTCGCGAGGGAGTTCCTGCGGTCGAAGAACCAACCCCACCGACTGCGACTCCCGCTCCACGCGAGGTAGAAGGAGCCGGACGAGCCTCCCTCTCCCACGCCCCGCCAGAAAACCCCCCTCTCCATGTTCCGCTTGTGCTTTGCGCCCAGCACTTAAACCAAATGGGCGCCTCCGTCAGGCCGGCCCAAAGTGAAAGAAGCCCGGCCGCTTCGCTTCCCCTTGGCGCAAAGGCGGCGGAATGAAGCCCGCCTGAACTCCCAGAGCGGCAGAGAGCCCTGGCAAGCCGGAGAGAGGAAGTCGCTTGCAGAGGATCCTGGAGCGCGTTCTCCGCCAGCCATTTTCCTCGCCTTCCTCCCGCTCCGATTCACGCCCTCCTTGATCCGCTTCTAATCCTCCGGGAAGGAACCCGCCTTTCTCTTCAGCTTCTCGGGCTCGAGGCGTCCAAGGAGCAAAAGGTCCGCGGGTAGGTCGGGGAGAAGAGGAGCGAGAGCAGGCAGGCCTGTAAGGGGGGCGGGGGGAAGTTGCCCAGCGTTCCTGAATAGGAAGGGCCGGCCGTCTGGAGCGGAGAGGAGATCCCTTAACTCTAACTCGCCGGCAGGCCTTTCCCCCATTTTTTTTTAAAAAAAAAGCAAAAACCGGAGAACGATCTCCAGTTCACCCTTTGAGGATCACATGCATTGTTATCGTCAATGCATGGTGGGGGTGGGAGGCAGGAGGACATGAAGCCCTTCTTTGTCACGGTTTCTTGGAAGGAAAGTAAAGGCGGCGAAAGGGACTCGCGGAAGAGCAGCAAGGAGAGAGAGAGAGAGAGAGAGACCCTTCCTGGGTTCCCCAATATTTTCCCGGAGCCCTGCTTTAAAGGTACCCGGACGATCAAGGCTCCGGGGAAGCGTTGGGTATACGCGCGGGCCAGCAAGCAGCAGAACAAGGGAGGGCGGCCGGGCGGCCTTCAGATCATCAGACCGACCCAGAGATCCGGGCGCCTCCCCAAAGGACGGGAGCGGTCCGCGAAAGAAGGATCTCTCGAACTGTTCTAAGGCGACTCTGGGCCAGATGCTTCTCTTCCAGCCGCACCTAAAGCTCGAGACCAGCCAGGCCTGCTCTTTCGCTACCCCTTTTTGTTAACGGAAAGTCAATGCCTTTAATTAAAAATCGTTAAATAAATCCATCTCTTTACTAGCACAAATATACTTTCTCTACCGAGTTTGCAAAAGATATCGACAGAAACTCGAGCGGCAGGGTCCAGAGACAGTTTGATTTCTTGGGGGGGGGGGAGAGAAACAATGCTTTTTAATCACACACATCTATATATCAGATTCTTTAAAAAAAACTATTCCCTTTTATGCTAGCATTTGCAGCAGTCTTCTTTTAAAATAATTTTCCCTTTGTATGTTTTGTATTTTCGTAGGACAGTCTTAATGCATATTTACTCAAAAACAAGACTTACTGTCTAAAATAAGGCTTAGACCAGGATCAGTGTGCTATGACTTGTAGTATAAAGCTGCCCATTTACACAGGAGTAAATGCATTCACACATGAGTAATCAAAATTCACAACTGTACATTGTCAATTGCTCTTCTTTCCAGTGGAAAATAAAGCAGCGATATTTAAGCAGATGAGAGTGGGAGTTTAGATTTAAAATCTGACTTGGAAATAGTATTATGTTTGTGATTCTAAATAAACCAGGAAATGGATATGAAAAGATTTTTGCAGGCAGCTTAAGAGAAGTGTTTTAATTATATAATGAAAAATGTAGCTATGTATGTAACAATGTATGTAAAAATGTATATATGTAAAATGTAACAGGACTTCTAGTTTGATGTAAAGGCAAGCTTTAAATATATTTTTGTAAGTAGAATTGTGGCAAATTCTATTGCACTTGAGCTGTAATATTTGTGATTTTTTTTTAGAAAGATAGTGTGCGTCCAATTTTGAGCAATTTGAGGTTTCCAGGATAGACTTTGAAAAGTAGAAAAACATGGATCCTTGAATTTGTAATTCATTTTTTAAAATAAATTCCAATGCTCTATCCAGCAGCCTGAAGTTTATTTCAGAATTGTAACAAAAAGGGTAATTATTTCCAAAGGATGTTGGGTTTGATGGAAGCCTGCAAAAATATGTGGGTAAATTCCCAACCAAATTTTGAATGTATTTAAAGACAAAGGAAATGATATCCATTAGGAAAAGCTATATGAAGCCTCCTTTTAAGATTGCTTGAAGAGAAAACTATTAGTATATAGATTCTTCCTTCTCCTTAAGTACAGTAGTATCACTTGAAAAAGAAATTTAGTTTTCTTCAGATAGTACATTTTCAGGATAGTATTAAAGTAAAAATGGGGTCTTGTAATACAGAGCAAATTGTACTTAAGAGGATAGTACTACTATATTGCTCTTTTGTTTTTCTTTTCTGTATAAAACATTTTTCTCTTGGAAAGAGGAATGTACTTAATGATGTGGATTTTCAACGACAAAGTGCACAAGAACCTTATAGTAAGTAAGTTACATGAAAGGAGATAAATGCAAAATCGCACTAGGAACGGACTAGCTGTTAACAAAAACAGCTTGCAAAGTGGGATGGAAGGAAAAGGTGACATTTTTCCTACTTCAGAATTAAATCGGCGGAAACGGCGCCTCCTAATAAAAAGCAATATCAAGAAAGACAATACGTCAAAAGGAAAGAGGAAGAAGAACAATTCACGCATGCAAACGGCAGACACAATTACTTACAGACCGCTGCTTTCCTGGGTCAACGTTCCGTTTAACACGCCACCGACACCAAACAATCCAAAGCGGGGGAGGGAAAACCGACCTCACGGCAAAAAAGTAAGGGCACCCAAACAGGAAGGGCACCCAGCCCGAGCCATGATTAAAAAACAAAAACCCGCCGTCTTAGAATATGGGTGAGAGAAGTACACACGCGCGCGCCTAATACGTTAGAAATTGGCGTTTCTTCCCCTTCGGCTCTCTTATTCGGAGCTTCCCTTGGCCTTCTCTGCCTCTGGAAAGCGGAAATTGAGGACGGCTTTTGCATGTGTGCGCCGAGATCCCAGCTCCCCCATTCCTCTCCCTCCTCCTCCTCCTCCCCCAGCCGCCGGGTGTTTGAGAATCTGGTTTTACGACGACGGCCCCGGCTCTGCCGCTATTACGAATTTCGTCTTTGGTCGGTAGTCTTTTGCTCCAGCTCCAAGGTCCCCCCCCCACCTGCCCATGTGGAGTAAATCCATTCAATTAGGGCACCAAGACGGAGCTGGAGGCTCTATAATCACAAATTTATGGCCGGATGACGTGCCTCTCTCGCTCTCTCCCACAATGGAGACCAGTGACATTAAACAGAAAATTGATGAGAGAGAAGCGAAATCTAATCTTTTCTTCCCACTTCTTCCACGCCGCTGCTGCCGCTGCCGGCTTGCCCCCCCCCCCCCTTGTTTGCAGAGGGAAAGGGGGGGGTGCTGCCGGGGATTGGGGAGAAAGGCTTTTCGCTCGCTCTTGGGGGTGGTGAGAAGGGGAGCGGGATAGTTAAGGTTTCCTCCCAGCCCCGATCCCCCGGCATTTCTTCCTCGCCCGTTCGCGATCTCTCTCCTGCACAACCGAGGCGAGCATTAGGCTCCGAGAGATGAGGACCACCCGAGTTCCAATATTGTCTCTCCTCTACACCCCCTCCCCCGAGTCGAGGTCAGCGGGGGTCTCCGAGGACTTACCCGATTGGAGTCGCGCTTTTTAGTGCGGCGTTGCATTTTCTTCCCGGGCAAGGGATAGAGGGTCGGGGTCGCCCGTTTTTCCCAAGGCGAAAAGCCGGGGTATCCGCTGCTAGGCCACGCTTTGAAGGGAGCCGAAAGGAAAAGAAAGCCTTCCCGGGCAAAGCGGGGAGTTGGGAAAACTGCATTTCAGCCCAGCTGCATTCCGCCGCGTTGGAAGAAGAGAGGAGCTCCCTCGGCGTCCAACCCGCACGCCCGGCACAGCGAGAGGGGGAAGGGGGCGGGCGGGGAGCCCTGGCAAGGAGGATCTGCTTGGAATCGAGACAAAAGTAACGTCCCTGTTGCAGCTGCGAACGGCGCGGGGGAGGGGGAGGAAATCCCGGCTCCTCCGCGTTCCAAACAAGAGGAGGAAACCGAGGCTCGCCGTGCTCGGGCCGCTTCCCCAAAGTGGGGCCGCTCGCGCGGGGCTTGCTCCGAACCCGGCTCTACTGCCGCGCCGCCGCCGCCGCCGCCACCTTCCGATGCAGAAGCCAGTCCCGGCCGCCAGCTCCTCTCCGTTGCCTCGCTCGCTAGCCCGCAATGTAAACCACCTACGGCAGCTGCGAAAGAGCGGGGGAAGTGGGCACGCGGGGAGGGAGAAAGGACACGGTCCAGAGCTTTGTGGTTTGCGTTCAACTTTTTTTTTTTAGGGTGTGTTTGTGTGTGTGTGTCTGTTTTTCTGATCTCCCCCCCCCTCCCCGGCTTCCCCACCCCCTCGTTCCCTCCCAATCTCAGCCTCCTTGTCTGGAACCAGTTTACAACTCCGCTGCTGTTCCCGCACCTCAGACATAATAGCGACCGAGATGGATCTTGCCTTCTCGCTGAGTTTGCATTTTTTCAAAGGAGCTCCAGGGTCTTCCCTCCCTCTCCCCCCCCCCCGTTCTTTCTGTTTAAGCTTGGGAGGTCACTGACCTCACAAGGGTGGAGTGAGTGGGGGGGGGGAGACAACCGGCAGAGGAGTGCGTGTAGCGTCACAGCCCAAGCCCCCATTAGATCTGCCTTTCATCTCCCTCATTCTCCTCACGCGCGCGCACACACACACACACAGAGGAAGAGAGAGAGAAAGAAATAGTTCGGTAACAGCTTTCTCCTGCATTACTAGAAGGTTGCATTTAAAGGCAACCTTCCCCAACCGAGGCCCCCAGGTATGTTTGGAGGACAGCGATAAACATGCTGGCTAGGAATTATGGGAAACATAGTCCTGACATATTCAGATGACACTGGATTGAAGAAAGCTGACTCATAACACTCTTGCCTTATGCTTTGCATTGGTCTCCTAAGTTTCTCTTTTCCACACGATGTGGAAGCGCTGACCAATACTTTCCTTTTGCCTTTGAAAAACCCATATATGATGCATTTTGTTTCTTCCATTCAATCTTATCCGATTCTCCAGGACTGCTTCTTCAGGTCCCTGCAGTTTTCTTGGCAAGGTTCTTCTTCCTAAATGACCATTGCTTCCTTCATGGGGCAGAGAGACAGTGGCAGGCCCAAGGTCGCCTACATGGCCTTGTGCCTTTGATGGAACTAGAACTCACAATCTTCCAGGTTTCTAGCCTGGCACCTTACCACTAGGCCTTTGTTATATGTTAGTCATTGAGCTAGTTCGTTTCATTAGAAAAGCCTCATGATAAAGATACAAGGCTACAAGAGGTAAGGGTGTCTCCACAACCAAAGGGAAAGGGTTTCAATTAAACTTGGTTCCTGGCAACTTCACAAACCTGTCCAGCCTGTCTTCTGGGCCACAAGACATAAATGGTTTGTGGTTCCTTCTTCTAGGATGTTTTGCAACTTTCCAATCTAGTCAACAGCTCTGGAATTCCCGGGGTGGTACATTCCTACATAGATGGGCTGCAATGACCAAGAGTCATTGCATTGACAGTTGGTATTGCTGTTTGGATAACATGCTGTTCCAGCTGTGTACAGTGTTAAACATTCTGACTTGGTTTATGCACTGTGCTAAACCACAATTTAGCCATCTTTTGTGGCAAAGAGCACCAGCTGCAAGGTTCATATGACATATTGAACCAAGCTATTTATTCTCTCCCCCACTCAGCTAAGGGATTGATTAGGCCAGAGGGCTCCAAACTTGGCAACTTTAAGACTTGTGGATTTCAACTCCCAGAATGCTGGTTGGAGAATTTTGGGAGTTGAAGTCCACAAGTCTTAAAGTTGCCAAGTTTGGGGACCTCTGGATTAGGCCTTTGAATGGAGAGCTGAAGGCCACATCCCAACAGGGAGCGGAGGGAAACATAACTAAATTTGATTTGTTGAAAATTCAAAACAGCTCCTCGGATCTGTTTGATCATTTCCCTCTTCTGTCACATTCTGGAGGTCTCAAGGAGTGCACTCAAGGTTCAAGGGGGGACACTGTTGCAGGCTTCAAATTGCCTACTCTTTTACCAAGTAATGTACTGTGAGTTTCCAACTACAATATGTTAAGTCAAAACTAGCCATAGCACGGCTGAGCAGAAAATGTAGACCCCCAGTCTGTATTTGCTTAATTTCTTAGGCTCCGCTCCTGCTTGGAAAAAAGGTTGATAATTCTCTGTCCCTTTTAACCTTCTCCCTTCTTTTCACAGTCAGCAGTGCCTAGACAAAGAACTATTTATTTGGATGGGAGAAGTGCCCCCACTCCAAGCTTATGGTTACCTGCTGAGAAGCCTGAGTAGACAAGGTTTACCTTTTGTTTCTTAAAAGGCCTCTTCCAGTGAATCCTTTCCACACAATAGCATAACCTGGTGAGCCTAGTTAGTGCCTTTAACATTCCCTTACAAAGTGCTTAGGAAGGTGGGTTCAGCCTTTAGAGGCTTTCCTGATTTGTTAGCTTGGCCTGTTACATCAGATGTGGAATTTTGCTCTGATTGGGCCGAACAACAATCAATATCCTCAATGAAGCTGGCTTACATTTATCCACCATATTTGATCAAACTTTTGAGGATAATAGGGCTCTGCAAACCTAGAAAAAAAAAGTTCTGCAGACCTCATGTGAGCACAATCCCTCTCTGTTTTTAATAAAAGCATTTGTTTTAAGCTTGCGTGAGAGCCTGAGAAAAGATGTGGCTGCTTTAACAGTAGTATTAAGGAACTGAGTCATTAAAGCAGCATCATTTTTTCCGGTAAGTAATTGTACTTGTGCAAGATCTGGAACAGGATTTTTTTTTCTCTTTTGGAATTACTTTTGAAGTGTCCTCAGTCTAGAGGATAATGCTTGGAAAAAAGGACAAAAGAAGAAAGACGGCCAGTATAATAGCATCCAAATGATCTCTCTCCAGCTATCCTTCCTCCACTGAACTCCAGACAGATTCTGAAACCCCTGCATTGATGCAAACAAGGAATATGTAATTAATTTTGGTGTGCTGACTGTATTGATTTTATTTGGAGCTCTCTGTGGGTGATTGTTGCGTTCCTTTATTTTTTTCAATATTTTCCTTCAATGGCCTCTGGATATCTACAGACTTAGCTTCATTGGTTTAGAAAGGAACTGCCCATAAAAATCCCCCCTCCATGTGCAGGACTACATAGCTATCTAGGACCCTTCAACATGGCAGTGTTAAAGAGCTATTCCCCAAGCTGCATGAGGTGGCAGGAAAGGCTGCTGTTACAAACGTTTACTGCTGCATTTCCAACCCTAACATGGCCTTGGTAATGAAGCAGAATAGGGGTTCTGTCCACAAGAGAAATGGAGAAGTCAGTGTGTGAAACGTTGCCTTTAGTACCAGTTTCTGGGAGCAGAAGATCCAAGGGTCTTCTTCAGTTAAATCTCCAGCCTATGGAGACTGTTCCATGAGAAATGGGAATGGCATCAGATAGCCATTCTAGACTATATACCACCACCTACTTTTCCTGCCCCATGTCAAAGAGGAGCATCAGGAGGAAGAAAAGGGGGAAATATATATTAATGCCAGACTTTCCAGCACCAAATGATGGGCTTTCTTCATGCTTACCTACAGAAAAGGTACTCTTCATCTTCACTTTCCTTCCCAAGACACTTCTACATTTACACAGAACCCTGCCATAGAACAGGATTTGAAGAAGGAATGGCTCACTCTCTTCTTAAGAAGCCATTGCTAGATCCAGTAGAACTGGATATTTTTTATTTGTTCTTCAACCTTCCTACTGAGGGAAGGCTATTGAAAGGG